TCTCCCTCTCCCTCTCCCTCTCCCTCTCTCTCTCTCACACACACACATACACACACACACAAGTCATTTGACATTCATCTTAGTAAAAAACAAAATCATAACAAACTTGTAGCAGAAATAACATGAGGTCTTATAAGAGAAATAAATCTGGGGATCTTCAGAGGAACACAAGCTGAAGCCAGGAACAGCTTGTGTTTATAGAGAAGCTTCATCACAAAGCAAAACTCCTTCTACTTTTGCTAAGTTCAAACATAGTGAACTACGAGAAAGCTACAAACGAAGTTAAATTTATATTGCAATAAAAATGCCTCATGAGCAAAGCTAATGAAGAAAAATTAAGACTGTGGATTACAAAATTGTACCTCTTAAACTAGGTAAATTATGAATAAAAACTGTAAGTTAGAATGTCAAGAAATATGAGAATGATTATGACCAGTAAAATGTGAGAAGATTAGAAATACTTACTGTGATCCTGTGTATGTCTGATAACACAATGTATACAATTACAATCACTTTGAGCATTAATATGCATGTGTGAGAGTACAAATGCACACATTCCCACATTTAACTCCTCCTTGCACACAGAAACCCAGTTCAGTACTGAGTTTGCTTGATCTTCCTTTCCTCTCATGGTTAATACATTCCATATTATTCTCAACCTACCTTAGACTAATTGACAATTATTCATGCAAATCAAAAAATTTTGACATTTAACATATGGGTAACTAATTAAGGAAAGTGAATTTTTCAAAGCATATTCTGAGAAAATTATGCTTAAAACTCAGCATGGTCCTAAAAGAGCATAATGTAAAAATCTCCTCCTGTATAAAATGTAACATGTTTATAATATTTACTGAAGAACTCCAAGAGAGTTACAGAATACTCTAAGTCACATAGCTCATTTGACCATAGATCTTGTTTTTCGTCAAACCTACATTTTGAGAGTACAATTCCCACAGGACTTGCAGAACCCATTTTTTAAACTACCAATAAAAAGGGGAAAGGCCAATGTAAGATTCCTAACATTCTTTGGGATCTTTGTAAGGAGGGCAGATACAGGTGACTTGTGATTGTATCAGCATGTATATATGTAAAACCTGTTCAACAGAAAGGAGAGTAGGGCAAGAGTAAACCAAGTGTGACTGCAGCACAAACTTTAAGGACACATGAATGTGCACAACTCTAACAATGCAAACTTTAAATTACATGCACAAATGACTATCCTTGAGGGAGTTCATCCCTTCAGAAAATAAGGAAATTAATTTCATTCTTGGGGAAGAATTATGCCTACCAACCTCAGAACTCTATTATGATATGTGATCATTAATTTAATTCCTGAAATATACTCTAAAACAAAATTATTACAATTATAGTAAATTAGTTTTTAAGCAACACAAAAAGTTTTAAGTGAGATTATCTCAACATCACAAGATATATTGTCAAGAGACTAAAAAATATAGTCACAAACATTTGTACATGCTAGATTACAGTAATAGCTATCATATTAAATTTAATTTAACAATATTAATTTATCATTTAATCATATTGAATCAAATATTAGAGCATATCAAATATCTTCCAACTAATGAATATGGAATTAAAAATATGATGCTTTCATTCAATAAAATAAGATCCACTCCTTTAAAGAAAGGAATTCTATGCACATATAATGTGGATGACTCTTGATACCCCCAGGTTAAGTGAAAGAAGTCACATGTAGGATTCTTTTTGGCTTCAGTGAAGAGAAAGGGTAACTTTGTAGATCTATCAAGTAAATAAATAGCTATCAAGAATGTAGAGTGGGGGCAAGTAGGGAGTAAACTTTAACAAGTAAACAGATTCTTACTGAGGGGTTAGAGTGTTCTAGAATTAGGTGTTAAGGATTATTACACAAGATGGTGAATAACTAAGAATGACTGAATCATATTTATTAAAATGGAGCATATGCTTTTCTGAATTATAACTAAGTAATAACTTTGAAAGTTAAAAACCAACTTTGGCTTTAGATAAACAGAAATTAGAGTACCTACCTGGGTTTGCACCTTTGTAATTGCTTTATAGAACTGACTTGTTTCATATTTTATAGATGAAGAAGATGAAGCACCTTGTTCAATGTCCATACTGTTTTATTTTATGGACCAAGCTGAGTTAGAAAAATGGCATTTTGACTCCAAACTCAGGCTATCTACTAACTTACAGACGTAATATCCTTGACTGTTCTACAAGCATATTAGCTTCAGGAGAAAACTATTATAAAAAATATTGTGACAGCAATCCCAAGTCCCTTCCCTTATAGGTGAAGCTACTATATTGTTTTAATCAAATTATTCTTGAAGTAGTTGAATTCGTTTACTTCTCATCTAATGAAAGATGAAAATTACTTATATTTTATTGGTTCAGATACCTAGATTTGGGTAAATGTTTGGACTGCCTCACCTGACACAAGTCACTCCTTGCTTTGGAATTTTACATTGAAACAACTGTTATTACAATCAATTTGAATAACGTAAGGGTAGCTACTGGTCACTCATTGGTCTCATACAGTGGATGTTGTACCACTCAATCCCTTGCCCTTAGTGACTAAAGTATCCATTTTCCTATTGTTACCTCAAGATTCTTTCAGAAACTGTTCTCTCTGGTAATTAGCTTCAAATGAACAGACATTGTATCCAGTGTCATGTCCCTTTTCCCAGAGACAAGCCACAACCAAGAACTTGTAAATGCTAAAATATGAAAGCCAATCCCTTGGCTCGAGACTCTTTCTCATTCCAAAAATATGATCCCTTAAAACATTATCTGAAAATGGACCCAAAGGCTGTTTCCTGTAAAAATTGTCACTTGTCATGGTCTTCCAGTTGGGGGTCTCAATGTGGCATTTGATACTATGTCTGAATTTCAGACTGGAAAATGACCACTAAGACTCAGTGTCTTCTCTCTCATCACTGGCCCATGCAAGAGGTGCTGGGTCTTCCTTTACAGTCTTTTGCAGGATAGACACACTACGCTGTGCCTTCAGTTATTCCTGTCAGAAGCACCTATAGCAAGTGTCATTCCTTTTTATAACCAAGGCACTCTGAAATGTGATAGAAATGATTATGGGAAGATTCTCTGGAGTCCAAATTTTCCCTGTTGCTGCAGCATATACATTTAGTTCAAGATAATAAAAAGTTTATTGTGGAGATTAGTCTAATCAGAGACTTCCAATGATTATGCCAATAATTTATCTTAATCTGTGTGGGTGCTTTGTTTTTCCAGTTGGGTGCAAACATAGACTAGTCATGAATCATAATTATTATCAATTACTAAGCTTACACTGAGAAACCTTTGTACATCCAATAGGGAAATTTCGCTTCCACACTACTAATCATTGTAACATAATTTACTGCCTTGCTTACTAACATCACTGATACTCTGACTGCATGGAGAACCGCCAAGTGTCTAGCTTAGCATTCTCTTGGAGCAAGTACAAAGATAAGTTTGGGAAATTTGAAATACTAAATAGGGGTTATATATTAATATAAAAATTATGCATAATGTAAGATATACTAATATGTTGACATACATATATAATGAGAAGACAAAATTACTAATGCATATAGTAAATGCTCAATAAATATTATTGTGGATTAACATACTTAAGGAGATCCTCTCAAGACATTTCAGTGGAACAAAAACCTCTTGTATACCTTCCAAAGCTAAGAACCTGGTTTTTCATCTTTAAGAAGCTATTTCAATTTGGAGTTCTGAAAAAATTGTGGGATCCAGACTCGTTCCCAATTTTGTGAGTACAAAAATATAAGCAAAAGTTAACAGAAAGAAACAAGGGATCATGCCCATTTTCTTATTACTGACAGAACACCCAGAATGAGAAATAATTTCTTGCCTATTAGAAGCGCAGTTACTCTAACTCTACAGAGACCACAGAGGTGAAACACAGTAACAGATATATCTCAAGGTGGTAGCTACTATACTGAGACCCCAACAATATCTAGGCCCCTGACACTGAAAGACTTCAGCTTAAGTTTTCTGTTAAAACATTACAGCTGACAAAGGTTAGCCCATGATGCTTAGGCCCATAGCACACTCTTCACCAAGAGAGAAATCCTAGTCTCCACCATAGACTCAACCAGAAGCTAAGATGGGTTTGTGACAACGATGGGTTTGTGACAACAATGACACTTGAAGTGCCAGCATCGTGATCTTCAGGACTAGTGAATTACAGAGTCATGTGTTCTATAATGTATATTATATATTATCCTCATATATATATATATATATATATATATATATATATATATATATGTATGTGTATATATATATATATACATACATATATATATATGTATGTATATATATGTTACTACTTCTAAGTATTTTGAATATTAACTTTACAATACTCAGTGATGTCCTCTGTTTGAGACATCATTGAGAGAATGTAGAAAGAGGAAGGAAAGTGAAAGAAAACAAAGACAGGACAAAGCAAAAAGGAGAGAGAATAGGGAAAAAAGTCTACTCTTAAAATATGGTCCCTATTTATTTTTCAAAAGTTTGGACTGTAGACCACATTCCAAAAAACAATCTGTTTTACAATGCATAACTGAAGCATACCACTACGTTTGAAAACTACTGGGTAGAACACATGGTATAGAGTGCAGAGTCATGGGAGATTTACAAAGGGGGTGAGTTATTTGTAAACATAAGGTATGAGAGGATCATGTTCAAAGGAACAGATTCCCCACAAAGCAGATGAGAGAAAAGTGCTGAGACTTTTCTCGGGCTAAGCTTTCACGAACTAGTCATTCTTCTTTCCACAGGAATGCAGGGATTATTGCAAAATGGCCCTCTTCAACAAGCATATTAACTTTGAGAGAAACCTATTACAAAAAAAATCTTCAAAAATGATGTCTCAACGTTTTCTTCTGTCTCTAGAAAGGAGGAAATCTGTCTGCTCACCTGTATCGAAGCTCACACTTGGCACGATGTCCACTGTCCCATGAAAGGCTCCTGCCCATGCTGAGGTAGCAGTGGTGACTGTAGTCAGATCTGTTTTTGTGATGTCGCACTGGGGAGCAGGAATCCTGGCGGCACGCACTGATGGCATTAGCAGGTGCCCATACGCGGGATCCAGGGCAGAGCCAGCAGTTGGGTGGTGGTGGTGGTGGCGGTGATGCATGTGAGCATGAGGATGGTGATGCCGCATGTACATGTCATGCATGTGACTGTAGGACGGGCTCACCTGAGATGCCAGAGGATAGTGCCAAGACTCAGACGCAGAAGGGGGTGGGGCAGGGCCAGTCTGATGCAGACCATGACCTGGCCAAGAGTTGGGATCTGCTGTTGTAAAGGTGCCATGGGGTGCAGTGACTTGGAAGTCAGGATGAACTCCCCCCAAACAGGGTGCAGGTGGGGGCTGGTAAGAGCTGGTCCAGAAGGAAGTTGGAAAATTACTCCGCTGGCTTGAAAGACCTGAGCTGTCTGAGAAGACAAAAAACACATTATTTACATAAGATACAGTTCTGGGTTTGATTACCTTTGCTTGTTCAGTAGTATTTTACAAACAAGTGGATTACCATACACTTTTTCTCTCTCCAATGATCTGATACTGGGCTAACATCTGGGGTCCTGTATCAGGGCTGGGACAAGATTCAAAGTTCTAAGAGAGCCCCCTGAATTTGCTTCCTGGGCTTCTGCTATCCCAGTTTTCACATCAAATTAATAACTGTAAATCTTCGTTTCCTCTTGGGTTCCTTGTGGCTCTTAGTTCTAAACAAAGGTATTGCTATAGATTTCTGTTTAACATTTGTGCCATTGATGAGGTGTGTGTAGACTGAAAATATTTTCACTTTTTTAAATACCAAACCAATTTTTATTTAAACATAAAATTTCAATGCCAGAAGTAAGAAACTGTAGCAAGATCATATACAATTTTCCTCATCAAATCAAGGATCATTAAAAAGAATATATTTTATGTTACTATTTTTGAGTAAACCTAGACTCCAAGCGTGGTCTTGGAAGTAACAATGGTTAACATTTAATGAGAGTAGCCAAATGTCCAACATCTCCTGAAGGCTACTCATGAGCTCATGTGATTCTCACTCCAGTCCCACAAGAAAATGGAGACAGGCAAAAGTTTAAGACTTGGCAAGCATAGGCTTACTCTTCAAAACCAGATAGCCTGCCTCAGTGGTCAAAGAAGAGTAGATTTCATAATTGCCATAAGAGGGAACAATTATGACTCCAGACAGTGCCTCAGTGGACAAAGGACAGTAGACTTCATAATGACTACAAGAGAGAACAATTAGGATCACAACCTAATCACCTGATTTGGAGAGTCTCTAGAAGTGATAAATAACATAGGTCCGGGTTGAGTTGTACTTTTCAAGATCTGTAGATCTTATAGACAACTAGAGTGCACATGTTGAGACAAGAAAGGAAGGAGGATCCACCTCTACTCCATCAGCACCCTCAACTGAATGTCTTTATCACCTCAACATTTATGGGTGGACTACTTTGGGTCAGACATAGAGAAGTCTAATATGTACACATATCTGTCACTGCTGATCACAACCAGAAAGAACACAGGGAAGGAAGACAACATATGAAGATGTTTTCAAGAGCTGGAAATGTGATAACTATGTTTAATTATATTAGCTGAATAGGAGGTAGCCCTATGAAGAGGTGAGATGGAGTTCTATGCTGACGGAATATAAGGCAAAATATAAACATATGTACACAGTCTACACAGAGGCACCCAAACACAACAATAGTACCACTAGCATCAGTAGCATTTAAGCAATAAAATTCAATAGGCAAACTTTAGCCAGAGAGAAAGAGAAAGGAGAAAGAAATGGGCAAGGAGAGAAATGAAAGACAGACAGACAGACAGACAGACAGATAGACAGACTGACTGACTATGCAGATATGAAGGACTCAGAAGAGTGTGGTCTTCCTGGCCAGAGAATTGAAGTGAATTATCATAACGTCTATCCAAAGGATCTTAAAAATTTTTTAATCTAGAGAATGACCAAGTCAGATCTGTACTTAGAAAGGTTTCTGTCCACCCCATAGATGGGTTCTTATAATAATGTATATTTATATAATCTCTGCCCTGTGAAATCTTCACTTTCATTACAGACTTGTCTTTTCTCACTTTATAGTCATAAAAGGACTTCTTGATCTCTTTGTCATTTTCTTCCATTAAAATAAAAATAACTTACTTTAATTCATATACTTTAATTCACACACTTAATTATTAGCGCACATCTTCCTAAATGTTTTTCATTCTGGGAAATATTCTACTGATTATTTATGTTAAAATTGGACATAAGGTTGCAAGAGGCATTACTTGTACATATGTATTGTTGATATTTTTATGCCAGGTTCTGCAGAATAAAAGAATCTAGAGTTTTCCTTTGAACAAAGGATATCCTAAGAGGTGTTCTTTGATAGAAATATTTAATCTAGCATGTTTATCACTTCATATGCTTCCAGGACATGAACAAGTTTTTCTTACCTCAATATAAATTACTTGAATCACCTGCCATGTGTATTATGGGGTTAATATCCAAATCAGTCTATCTCTGTCATAGACTGACATCTTGTCTAAGTTCCCTAATGACGTTGGTATTATGAGGGCATGATCCATTCTTTCTCTGTCAGATCTGTACCAGTGTTATCATGATTCATCCCTTCTTCCGATGATCAGGGACCGACAGTTTCAAGTTCATCTCCTAAGCATTACTATGGGTTTCAGAACCCTTGAAGCAATCTATAAAACAATGCTCTTCAAGAATGAAAAGGAGAGAAAGGTTGGTGAAGCTTTCAGCCATTCCCAGTAAGTTCTTAAATGAATTACTCACCAGTGGGGACGATCACCACTGGTTAAATGACTGTACTTAGAAATCAGCCATAAGGGCATTGTAGGCCATTGTAGACACCAATCTCCTACTTTGCTGACACACCTACCATCTTTGGTATGAAATCCTTCATTCTGCTCATAATTAGTGTCTCCTGGTACAACCAGAACCTGAATATGAAAACTGACAACCCCTGATACACAAGGATGTGTCAGAGACACAAGTTCCTCTTATTGATCCTCCCGAGGAAAATGTACAAAGTACAAAGATAATATTCCACTTATCTGTATATCTTTGTCTTGATTTGTATCAAGATCGAACTATTCTTATTCTATAACTGTATAAGCATTGTAGATATTCACACACAAATTCACATATTGAATACATTCCCTACCAAAATATTATTGTCCTTTACATGAAGTACTTTACTGTGACAAGTGAACATATTATCATTGAAAGAAGAAATTTACTTTTTAAAAGCCACTCTCTAAAAATTGAACCACTCTTAAAAATTCCCCAAAGGGAAAAAATTAAAAGCAACTTAATAGTTTCTCAGCTGGCAAAGGGTCTCCTGAGATTAATATAAAGCTTGTAGAGATCTACACAGCCCTTTTCAACAAACAATACTGAATTTTACAAGTAAGTGAAACAATATTGAATGGAAAATATGTTCATGAAGAAACCTATGATTCAGGATCACTATTTGGTATTTACTTATTTAAAGAAAAAAAATGTGACACAGAGAAACAGATGCTACATTGTGCTTTGTGTTGGAGAACCAGCACGCTTATTTCATATGTATGTAAATTTTTTTACATTACGTGACTTTTTGCTTATGAGTACTTAATCACAGCCACATTTTGTGGATAAGAAAGTGGGTGAAAAGCTGCAGGAGCCATTTCCATGCAATGTTACCTTTAAGGTTAGGCGAGATGATTCAGAACTGGAAAATGTTAAGACTAACTCCACTGGGATTCCAGAGCCATCATTCCTCAACACTCATGCAATATTTGCATTCGGATGGTGACAATACTGATAGTCTTATGCATACAAAATGACCTAAATATGATTTTGTTGAGTTCACTTTTAGGAACACATACACATTTATTTTTAAAAATGGAAGATGAGGTGAAATTGATATGTTATCCAATAAAATCTTTCCAAAATAAACCAAATAACATCACCATCTGACTTTCAGGGAAATTTTTGTTTCATAGAGAAACATAGGAGCTAGCCATAGATTCCAGAAGTCAAGTGTTCTTTTTAAAAATTTCAGATCTAAGTTCTTTTTAGAATTGCACAACACTAGGGTGCTTTTTATAGCAACCCTACATACCAGAGAGGGAGGGGGCAAAAACTGTGAAACAATTTAGGAAAGATTCAAGTTTTAATTTTTTAAATAATAAAAATAATATTAAATGAAAAATAAAACAAAGAAATGCCATCATAAAGTATCTGTAATAATCTCCTGCTGACACAACCTTAGAGCAAATACAGATGAAAAACCTTAGTATCCAATATAAGATTTTCTTTTAAAATTCACACTAAAGAAAACATTATTTAGAGCATTGGAGTACATGCCTCTGAATTCAGTACTCAGAAAGAGGAGGCAGGTAGTGGAGTCTCCAAGTTCTCTGAAAACTTCAACTAAGTGTGTCCATCAGGTGAGCAGAGCTAGGAGGAAGACCCTGCCTCAGTAAGGAAGAAGAAGAGGAGGAGGAGGAGGAGGAGAAAGAAAGGAGGAGAGAAGAAGAAGAAAAAAGCAAGAATACTATTTAAACTCAATTCTTAGGCTATAGGTTCTTGATACTTTTAAGACCCATTCTGTGATTCTTCTGCTTCCTATAAAAAGCAACTGCCAAGTAAGAAAAGGAACAAAATGTGTTCCATTCTTTTCTGTCATTCTATCCAAAGGTTGTCCTCTAGGGAGTTTGTTGCAGCACTGCTCAAAATTGGCCTCATGACTGCAATCGCAGCTAACCCTTGGGGCACTATCATGAGGTGAGTCAGGCCTCATCTCCTCTCACTTACTGTTCCAACTTCCTGGAAGCAGCAGCCTCCAGGGCCTCCATGAAGAGTCTACTCAGAAACTTTATTCCCTACCAAACACCTCAGGATATATCCCTTCTTTCCTTTTTTCCTTTGCTCTGCTTAACCTGTACTATTCATTTTGAGAGGCCTTTCCCATATGGCTGAGTTTCCCAAGTAGACCTCAGTTGTATCAGCTAACTGACAGATACATTTATTTATGAAAGTGTAAGAAAAGTAAATAAATGCCAGAAATTGCCGTAAAGCCTGTTTTTTAATTGGGATAACTGCTCGACTACAGCTTATGTGACCAGTCCACTTCCTTTTATACATACACAGTCACACACACAATGTCACACGCACATACAGGCACAGTCTCTAACCAAGTCACACATACATAGTCATATACACACACATCCAGTCACACACACACACAGGCACACACACATGCAGGCACAGTCTCTTACACACACAGTCATACACACAGTCATATACACAACATACACACATACTCGCACACAATATAACACATACTTTCCTTAAAAACCAAAGCATGAACGTATCTGAAACTGATGTTTCATTCTAGATGCTCCTCCCAAAATACTGTACCAAAATAAGGTGCAAAAATGTCGTCCCCATCACTGTTTTCCTAACAGCTGCACATCTCAAAAGACATTTCCTAGCCTTATCGAGAAGAATTGAATTCAGCTGTAACTATTGTTCTCTTAGCAGATACGCACGCTTTGTCTAAAGATTAACTATGGAAATATATTATTTAAACATAGCTCAGTTTTGATTTCATAGGTCACACACCAGTAGATTATAATAACTTCGTGCTACAAGCCCGCGTGTTTAATGCAGGTGGTGTGGCCAGCAGTTTCTTTCAAAACTATTCCTAAATGGTGCCATTAACATTATCAATAGCCTTCAGTCCTTACTATATCCTAGACATTGCTTTGTGCTGCAAATATGAGCTTCTAGAAAAAATAAAAAACTCAACATTCGTTTTCCATCTGCCAAGTAAGTGGGATATCTATGGAAAAAAAGAAGGCATCTGCCTTAGTGATTATGTTTCTTCTAGTTCAGCATGAAATCATCCATGTATGCTTCTACTCATTACTTATAATAACCCTTTCTGTGAGTAATAACGAGCATACGAAGAGTTTCTTTTAATCTTTAGTCCTCTTTTAATTTTAATTTTAAACTTTAGAATTGCATACATGACCACACTGTATTTACCACATTTTCATCTCTGTCTCAGCCCAGCCAACTCTTCTCTGTCTCTCAAATTCTTTGTCTTCTTTGGCTAGCCTATACCAAATCAAACTAGTGCTCATATGGAGCCAGTGAAGTCCTGAGTGAATGTCTGTTCTTGATAGGAGCTCAGCTATGTAAAAGACTAGAGTGTCTTACATTTTTGGAAATGTCAAAGCCTTCCCTGGGTAGGGCTCAAAGAAATGGCAAGCTGTTCTCTACTTTTTTTTTTTTTGTGCAGATGCGGATGTATGTGTAGAAAATGTGCAATACAGTGCTCTCCTTCCTTGACGTTCATCGCCTGAAGACTGACTTTTCCCCTACCGAGACTTCTACAAAGATTAGATAAGCCTACCTTCTTGTGCAGCTGTATGCAGTAACACCATGACCTCCCTCATCAACTGTGTGCAATAAATACACCAAGCTTCCGGGATGCTGTGGCTTCTCCATCTGAGAGCTTAAACCCTCAAAACCCCAGTTTTTCTGTACACATATCTGTCTTTTCTTCATTTCTTCTCTGTCTCAGTTAGGTCAAACCCACGGTAACATGAAAGAGAACACGAAGGGCTGTCCATGTATGTATGTGTATGGGGCCACCCACTGGAGCATGCTAAACCTACCAGGGATAAAAATGGAGCACTGATTGAGAAGACACCAAGCAAGAACTGGCCCAACTTGAGACCCATCCCCTGGGACAGAGACAACCCTTGATACTATTAATGATACTCTGCTATGCTTGCAGACCAGGGTATGTGTATAAGAGAATATAAAGAGCTGATTTCCATTTCTAAAATCGAAAAACCATTATGTGAACGTTAGGAGATATTCCATTATGGTTATAAAGTTCATTTCCAAGTAAGAAAGGCAACTGGGAACATAACTTTGGTGAGTTGTGGGGAAGATATAAATTTGATCTGACTAGAGACTGGAGTTCACTACAGTCAATAAAATGAATGTTTGAAATGGTCATAGAACTGAGAAAGTACTGAATGCTCAGCCTTAAGTGTGATATCCTTATCAACCTCCTACTCTATCAAGGGTAAAGACATATTCCAGAAGAAGGAAAAGAATGAATGTCAGAGGCTAGTGATGGAGAGATGTGCTATGAAATACTGCCCTTAGAGCATAGGTATAGCTATTTCACACATGAACCCATATTAACTGTGGCTACCTGTACAAGACCTGTATTGATACATGAAATGAACTTCATTCACATACTTCCATCTCTTAGTCACCGAATAATAATTATTATCTCTGAGTATTCACATAGAAAAGTGCTACTTTGTGTACTGAGGGAATTGATAAGTAGATATAAATTTAAATAAATTTAAAATAGATAAATAGATATAGTATTTTTAGATTTTGCAAGGCAAGAGACAAAAAGACATGAGACACTGGGTGGACATACTACTCCGCATATATGAGCATACTTCTTACTCATTGCACATTCTAAGTTCCTCTCATCTCTAGGGCGTTTTCACTGACTATTCCTTCTTTGTAGGTCATTTTCCAAGAAAGTTACATGTTGAATGCCCTCATTCCTTCAGGCCTATTGTGGAAGCTTTCAGTATCACTTTCAGTAAAGTAAGTTCTTGCATGTCACTTATTACAACCTTGTTTATTCCCTCTCTCTACTATTAGTAACTCCATGAATGTAGAGCAAAGTTCCTTGAAATTTACACAGCATATATAGTATATCCTTAGGAAACATTTGTGTCAAAGTCAACTAATGAGTCAGCAGATAAATGGGAAGGCCAAGTTTAACATGACACCAAGACAATGCTAACAAAGGAGTGAAGGAGCTGAAGGGTATTGCAACCCCATAGGAAGAATAACAATATCAACCAACCAGACCTCTCCCTCTGAGTTCCCAGGGACTAAACCACCAACCAAAAAGTACACATGGAGGGACCCATGGCTCCAGCTGCATATGTAGCAGAAGGTGCCCTTGTCGGGCATCAATGGGAGAAGAGGCCCTTGGTCCTGTGAAGGCTCAATTCCCTAGTGTAGGAGAAAGCAGGAGTGGGTGGGTGGGGGAACACCCTTTAAGAAGCAGGGGGAGGGGGATGGGATAGGAGGTTTCCTGGGTGGGGGAGGGTAGGAAAGGAGATAACGTTTGAAATATAAATAAAGAAAATATCCAATAAAAAAAATGACTGCCATTCTCCCTTTCTGTATAAAAATGAGAGAGCTAATCAATGCTTTCTTCTGGTTGTTCTAATTACTACATAGAACAGTTGAACTGTTTTACAGTCATTATACATATATTAAAAGTCTTCTGCCCTTGGCACTATAGATGTTGGCCTGCTCCAGATAATTTGTGGCCCTACTTTCTCCTTTCCAGCCTAGATTATCTCAGGATTACATAAGCCAGTACGCTGAACAAGGAGACATTTTACTTATTATTCTCCTGTAGCCAATTTATATGGATGTGATTAATTATGTGGTACATAAAATTGATTACCTAAAACCATCTGATTCATGGAATTTTTCTCATTTTCATCAAATTATTCACATTCTTTCTCATGAACTATCAAATAAGATATCGACTCTTTCTGTAAGCCTTGAGCTCTCAAGGGCTCTCTGTTCCTGTACAAAGTTCACAGGACATACTCATCAATTAAGCAGGAGTCATGTGGATGACTTATCCCAAAGCTCTATTTGAGCTTACGTTCTATTACCTTTCCCTCTTACAAAGCCTCCTTAGTATTGAATACATTTGATGGGAAGCAAAGGGAATAAAGGAAGGAGGGAAAGGAAGAGGAAGAGAGAAATAGAAGAAAGAAGGAAGGCAGAAGGGAGAGAATGACAAAATGAAACATGAGCAGGAAGAAGAGTCTATCTGTAGATAAGGGCCAGCAGTGTCAGCTGAGGTCCTCTTGTGCAACAGCACAGCCGTGCCTGTGACAATGACGTGAGTCATTAGTCACAGATTACAAGACCCTTCTGCAGGTGGACTGTCTTTCCTTGTCTCAGGTACCACCCAGGACAGTTGTGACTGGTAACTCCCGCCACTTTCCTGAAGGTATTCTGACTCTATAGAGGCCTCACAAGCCAAGACAATCATGTCACTGATTCCCCAACTTGAGCCAGATTACCTGTTTACCTGTTTACCTGGCCAGAACTAAGTAAACACAAATTAACCCACACCAGTTTCTCACCCTATAGGGCTAGGATGAGGGACCAGAACATTGCTTTTTAAAAGGTTCTCTCTTGAGGCCCACAGTTGTAAACAATTTTACTGGACACTTCTTGGAACCAGGTGAGCTGGGAACACAGTATTTCCATATAACACACTTCACCAAAATTATCCTAAATAGGTTGGACTATTTTTCCTCTCCAGCCTTGTCTAACATGTCACTTATCCACTGACTCTTTAAAACTGGAACACGAAAGTCTCTCTGCTCGCCACAAAGAAGGAAATAAAGAATTCCTTCAATCTGGAGCTTTTTGTTTACTGAGGTATCAATACTGGCATTAAGTCACAGAGATACTACCTATGAGAGTTATGTACCCTGTAGAAGTTAGTAAAGAGAAACCCACTAGGAGAACACAGGCAGCTTTGGGAGTCTGTGTTCCTGGGTCAGAATCAGAACTCAGCTAAGTCACCACGCAAAACATACCTAGGGGAGTAAACAAGAATAAGCTTTTAGAATATGTGTTTAGAAGCTTACTCAGGCACGCCTATTATTTAGAGATCCACACTGGTCCACGGGGGAGCTTTAGGAATGAAGCTTCAGGCTCAGTCTGGCCACTATAAACTGGGGCCACTTGTATCACTGCTTTTTCCATGAGGAATTTAAGGGGTGTGACTGCATCCTTTCCAACCCTGCATTCCACATGTGACAAAACCGATCCAGCTGTTTGTCTGAAAGAAATTCCTTGCTGTCCTTAAAAATTAAAAAGCAAGTGGATATCCGTTCTCCAGGGGCAAGCCTCCAGCTGGAGCCTGGTAGAGGCAGTTGCGAAATGGCGTGCTCCAAAGGGCATCTGCTTTCTCAAATTCTTACCTCGCCATAGGGGGGTTAGCCCCATCTTGCTTTTTGAAATGGCAGATTCGGGATGCAAGGTGTTGGCTTGGCCCAAAGCTCTTGAGAAGTGTTCATCCACTACTGACCCAATGTCTCCCTGGAAATAAGTGAAAAGGACACAGCGAGAGTTAAGGTACTCCATCTCGGCAGGCTGGTCTTTCTCCTCCTCCTCCTCCTCATCCTCCTCCTCCTCATCCTCCTCTTGTTTGCTGGGAAGCGTGACTTCCAGAGAGTCCTGCATCTTGCTGTATACCGCTAACTTCTTCTGGGATAGAATAAACAAAACATAGTATCAAAGACAGTTTGTGGCAAAGCATTAACTATTTAACTTTTCACTTTAAAAAAAAACAGAATCTAAATATTAACATATGTTTGCAAACTGATTCTCCTTCATCTGTTTTATTCCATCTTTTCCTTCCCCAAACCAGTTGCCTCCCTCCCACACTAAGAAAAAAAAAGTCTGTTATTCCAAATTTGGCATTGGAGAGGGCTACTATCAAATTGTATAATTTCAGAGTGTCAGACAGCATTTTTGTTTGTTTGTTTTTAAACACTGCTATATTAAATGAATAACTTTTTAAAAATACGACAGATTCCCTTTGGATTTTTTTAAGGCTCAATTTTTATGTACTTTAAACAGATTTAATGTACATTTAACTACATTCTACTTAAGGACAATGGAGGAGACACGAGAGCTAACTGTCCAGGGAAGGGTGGAGAGGAAAAAAGCATTTCATAAATGAAATAAACTAAAATAAAAAACTGGAATGCACCATCCTATAAAAGGATTTGGCAGATGTGCTGAACTCATTTCTCAAACATCAAACTGAAATGACAGAGTAAGTCTGTGTGAAGATCCATTTTGCACGGACCATGTTTTTCTTATGTTCCACTCACTACTATTATCATAGAGGGGGAGAAAGAGTTTATTGTGGCTTACTGAAAATGCAACAAAATACTAGCAAGGATTAGCTCTTCAAATAAAAATGAGCAGAGTTGGATATCTTAAAGTATTTCAACATACAGTCGGTCATACCTATAGTAATCACTTATCTATTATCCAAGAAAGTGTCCTCAAACCTCACGTATATGACTTGAGTTGATTTTTATAACTATAACTTGGTTATTATTGCTGTATGTTTCTAAAAGACAAAGAAACTAAGGTATAGAGAAGTGAAGGAAGCTGCCAATAGTCACAAGGAATATGTCTGGTGAAGATAGAATGCAAAGAAAGTAAACATGTGTAGACATATATTGTAAAACCATGGGAAACAAGGTAGCAATCTCTAGTATGGCGGGGTAGTCTCCAAATAACTATGATCAACATTGTTTTACTGAATGGAAATTTAGCAGCTAATTGTTATTTTTTATTACATCAGCTGTTCAATTTTTCCAAACATTTTCACTGAGTATATAATGACTTAAAGATTACCAACAACTTCACTGTGAATAATACATAAGAATAAACTCTGAGTGACCACATAAACATTCTCTATGAATAACATAACAACAAAATTCAAATTTTTAAATGCCATATCTTATATCATTTTGTTATTTCTGCAGAAATTATATATGCTGGAAAAATAAGTCTGAATAGCAAACCCAGATAATTGTGAAATCGTAAGTAGTTTTACATATCTTATCACTATATAACTCCCATTTAATGTTTCTTATGTAATTCCTAGTTTTGGAACCAATAAACACAAATCATAAGTTTATCTTTAATCAATCCATCATTTTCTTCTAGCAACAAATATATGATTCTTATTCCAGGTGGTTCTAGAAATGGACACATGATACGTGACTGATGAATATGTGGAAGATGTTACTTAAATATATATTTGCCATTTTTTATTTAAAATTTGTGTCCATGTGGTTAGTGTTTTCTTATGAATAGATAATTTAGTCCATGTGAAGGAAGGTATCTTATTGATGAACAGGTAGTTATAATGCTGTCTGGTTATACTTCTTGTAATCTGCTTTTGTTCAAACTTGACTTCAATAGCAAAATACCACATTAAAATATGTTACATAAATGTAGGAATTGAGCTAAATAACTTTTAGTTTTGAATTTCATTGATAGAATTAAACAAACACTATAATTTACTGGTCAAATAACAGTGAAATTTTTCTGGGTGCATGGATATTTACTAAAAACCTGCATGGATGTAACTATGCATAACTCTGTCCTGCCTATTCTGGTTTATTTGAAAGATCACTTTTATACTGAAATAAATGTGAAGCCGATCCCCAGAGTAGTTTCTGTGTTCAGAGTGTTCATCATTGCCCAGGAGACTAAGGAGGGTGTGTTTGCCCATACCTCTTCTATACCTTTATCTTATCTTTATGTTTTAACATTTATGTTGATCACAAAAATAAAGGAAAGGGTTTCTTTTACTGACAACAACAATTACATCTTAAGTAAGCTAAATTAAATATACGCAAAAAATCTTAACAAACTATAAACCCTACCATAAATACAAAATAGCTTTGTGATAAGTGACGAGCACCATAAGCCATCTCAAGATTAATTGCTGGCAATTGTTGTTAAATGATAGATTTTCATTTTAGGGTTGCACAGTTTTGTAAATTCTGCATAATTCAGGGGGACTTTTTCTACCAACCATGGAATGGATGACTACACATAAATCCATATTTAAAATCACATTCTTATCCATAGGGAGTAAGGAAAAGAGTAAGTTGTCTTATACAAAAGTAATTATCATTCATCTCATTTGCAAAAATCTTTCCTTTGTTGATGCATTCATTGATGCTCTGCACTCTTAAGTTTCATACATAGACAACCTATCTCTCCTTGTACAACTCTACCTGACAAAATATCCCCTGTTAACACTGTGGATATCTGTAGTTTAGTCAAAAACGAGCCTATGATCTACTAACAACAGTATATACAAACGTTTAGGAGTCTACTTATACTTCCCCCCATATTTTGCTCTAATTTTCATAAATTATAGTGAAACTATTTGAATATTTACATTTCTGACATATACTTAGCCTTGAAATATCACCAGTTGAAGTACGAATTTTAAAGTATACAAAAGGCCTGATAATTACCAAGACTGCTAAGTTAGAATATGCATAAGAGTTTTAACTAGCAGGAAGGGACAGCAGGAAGGGACAGCAGGAAGGAGGCAGGAAGGAAACAGAAACACATCCCTTAAGCTGCTTCCTATGGCTTCCATGCTGACATCACACAATCTAACTTCTCAGACTTGAGCAGCAACCGCTGTATGACACCAGTGCTTCCTGCCTGTTCTTTGAACCTATTCCTCTTTAGCTACATTCTATATGCTCTTGGCCTTGGATTTTTTCATGCTACTTCCCCTAGGGTTGCATGTTTTTGTGGGGAAAATATATATATATATATATAAAAAAACTAAAAGTGGAGATTAAATCTCAGAGTATCAGAACATAAATGTGCAGAATCAAGACAAAAATGTCACCTAATTCATTCATTTTTCCAAATGCAATCACTTTCTATAATATATCTGAATATCAGGTTAGTATCTGTATTCTTCTTAGAAGGTTGTGAAGAATTGTTTTTTTAAAAAAACAAAACAAACAAAAAAGTCACCAAAAGAGCTCTTAATAACTGTGAATTGGGGCTGTACAGATGGCTCAGTGAAGAAAGCATTTGGAAAGCTGAATTTGGGTCCCCAGTACACTGGATAGGCTTAGAAACCAGCCTCTAATACAAGCACTGGGGAGGCAGTAACAGAAGACCCCAGCTGAATACCAAATACGTGCACTCTGGGTTCTAGTAATATACCTTACCTCACTCTTTAAGGTGGGAAACAATGGAGCAAGACAGTCAAACACAACCTCTTGGCCTCCACACACACCTAAACACAGAAACACAGAACCAAGCATCCCCTTATACACATGTATATCAACAATCATGTGATCACACATACACAGCTATGCTTGTATAACATACACACACACACACACACACACACCAACACTCATGATAAGTTGGTTTGGGTAATACACACTGCTCAGTAGAAGCCATTTTCTCCCCTCCAAAAGATACCAGTTTGGTCAAGCAAGCAAGTGGTTAATAGGTAGAGTTAAGGCCAGCTCACAAACATGAAAGGTACAAGAATAAAGGAAAGTTGGGATAGGTAATACAAACCCTAGTGATCACCTCAGAGCTTGCAATCAGGCCCAGCAGAAACAAACATCAACAGAAATGTACAGGGGAAAGGATTTTGTCTGACAGGAGAAAGACTTCCAGGTCAGGAGCCAAATACCACTAACTCCCCAAGGCTTAAGCCACAAAATACCAAATGCTTATTGTGTATGTGTGGAAAGTTTCATCCTAAGGAAACAAAACTATGTTAATGAATCACTGAAGTCACTAGATATTTTAGAAAAAGGATCTGAAAAAAGAAGAAGTTCGAATGACTATCTCTTTTAAATGAAGTGACTGTTTTGTGTTAAAAAGAAAGAAACAAAGAAAGAAGGAAGGGAGGGAGGGAGGGAGGGAGGGAGAGAGGAAGAGGAGAGGAAGGTTTGAATGACTAGTCTATTTTTTTTTTATTTCTTTCTTTTTCTTTTTTTTTCTGGTTTGGATTTTTTTTTTTTTTTAAGATAGGGTTTCTCTGTGTAGCCCTGGCTGTCCTGGAACTCACTCTGTAGACCAGGCTGGCCTCGAACTCTCGAACTCAGAAATCTGCCTGCCTCTGCCTCCCAAGTGCTGGGATTAAAGGCGTGTGCCACCACTGCCCGGCTTGACTAGTCTATTTCAAAAGCATTAAGTCCATAAAACCAACTCATTGATTTTTTTATCATGATTTTAGAATTTACTTATAGAACAGATACTTTAAAATATCTCAGAGATCTCTGGGTATATCAGGAAATATGTAGTTCAATTGGCTTAAAAAAATATGCCACAGAACATCTCTCATTATATTAAATTTTCAAACAACATTTATTTATCTGTGTGTGCCTAAGTATGTGTGCATGTGTTTTTGCGTGTTTCTATGTGTGTCTTTGTGTGTATGTTTGTGTGTTTGTGTATGTGTGTATTGTGTGCCTGTGTGTATTTTCAGGAATGTGTGCCATAGCTTATACATGGATGTTCTCTGACATCCTAAAGGAGCTAGTGGAAGAACAAGGATGGAATCTGGGTCATGAGGCTTGAAGGTAAGTACCATCTCATGAGAACAATAGCTTTTGTTTCCTTTAATTTTTCTCTTATATGCAAATACTTCCCAGAATGTCTCTCAATTTGCATATGCA